TTCACGGTTCCGTCTACACCCTCGACTGACTCGTCTAATAAATTTTGGTATCAAATCTCGCTATCTTATGAAATTACTAGCCCTAGGCAACGACACGGTCTGTTACCCGAACTTTTCCTTATTTTTAATCTAACCGCGAGACGCTCTACGATTAAATCTGACCTCTTGAACAGTCTAGGAAACGCTTCCTAAATTTAATTCAATTAGCCGCTTTACGATTTAGAAAAATAGGCTAGACTAAGTAGTGAACTCAACCGCGTTCGTTCACTTAAATAGGTCGTGTTATCCCCGGTAGTTACCATCTTCCGGATACCACTTGCGAATTAAACACATCAACAATTACGGATTGAAGGCCTAATTCAGGTGTAGATGTGTAAAGCCTAATCTAGGTGATCAATCTAAATCAAACTCAACACATCATGGTTAATTATTCAAAATAACACAAGCAATTCCAAAAAAATATTAAAATCATCAACCATGTAAATCAATCAAACATCGTCAATCTTAGGGTTCGACTTCCCCGGAACTAGAAATATAAACTAGCCTAATATAATAAATAAAAATAAATGAAAGAGAAAGAGAATAGAATTATCCTCTTTCGTGTGCGGGTGCGGTCTCCCTCCGCGATTGATCGGGCTACTCGTCTTTCTTCTCTCTGTTCGCGAATCCTTTTCTTTCCTCTGCTCTTACGGCTGCGGCTTTTTCTCTGTTGCGTAAATAATTCCCGTACGCGTTGTGTGGGTCTCCCAGGCTTTGCGTGAATACTTATTTCTTTCCTAAAATGAGTCCTACCAGGTTTGAGTCTCCAATTGAAAACAACCAATTAAGTCCACCCAAGTGCTTATTAACTAATTGCTCAAGCCCTGCGTGAATTGTTTATGTGGGCCTTCAAATCCTATTTGGACTTTTTATTTAACTTGTGGTCTAGTCTTGATCGGTGATGGAGCACCCCTGATGTAGTCAAATTCTCGGTCTCGGTTGGTACCAACTTGCCAGTAAAAATACTTAAATATGCTGAAAATAAACCATAAAAATATCAAAGCAAATAAATTCATCTAAATAATAAATAAGTCAAAAAAATAATAAGTGTGATAAAACTAAGCATATAAAAATACGCTAATAAATATAAAACATACACACTTTTTCCGACGAATCACTCTTTCATCAAGAAAACAAACCGTCATGATTACTCTGAATGAGTCGAAGAGGAGCAACATTTATCCCCATAAGTAAAAGACTTTTATTCTTCTATTAATGTGTTAACCATTTAAATGTCCATCTCTACTTTATTTGGGCGCATGAAACTGGCATTGACCTCCCAATCAAAGCTCATCACCGGATCATATAGCTTCTTACAACCAGCTGAAGTGCATGGTCCAATCCCAAGAACCTAGGAGTTTTCTATTGTACCCAAAATGCGTCGTTGTAAATTAAGTCTATTAAAACGTGACGTATATTGTAAGTTTACATCATCAATGCCCCGAACCCCCAATATACGATGCCACACACAAGCACCTAATGATACATCAACTTGGAATTTTCGTAAAACATAATTGACATCCTCCAGCCGCTCTCTTCCTATATGCCAATCTCACTCAAGGCCATAAGTGCATCAGCTAACGTCATCATGGGTCACCTCCTCATGTTGACCATACGCAAGTGGAACTTTCTTCATTCTGATCTCAGCTGATCTAATATGAAAATGGTTGTCACCAAAATCGATAAAAAGCTCTCAAAATGAGAAGAAAAATCTCCCAAAAGGAGAATACAAGAAACACATTCCCACCGGGAGAGACAAAACAAAAA